GCTGAGCTTGTTAAGAGTTGAAGCAGAACCATGTATTGAGACAGAGATGCCTATTGCGGGCAGAGCTTCCACAGCAGAACGCTATTGCTGAAATGATTCTTGCAGGCAGGCCGAATATGATATGTGATAATTTTCATTCTGTACCGAGGTGATCATTTTACAAAATGTCTTAATTATCGGATCTTTAAAACTGATCTTTTTAATCGTAATTCAATCCAATCATGTATTGATATTTGAGCGTGTTTGGTTTAACTTGGCTTATAACAGTATTTCAGTTATACCACGGTGTGTCAGCTTGATGTGGAAGACAATCCTGAAGCGATGCAGGATTCGTTATGATAGAAATTTTGTTATTGGGCATGTAATTCACAGACACAAGATTTTGGGTCCCAGAAGGGAAACTATGCATGTGTATTGTAAATGGGGATTAACATCCTGTTAAGGTGTTTGCACTTATATAGCAATGTTCATGCATGTGTGCGTGTCCGCCTGTATTAGTCCGGACTTATGCAGGTTTTATAGTGCTTGCCCATTGAGACAGCATACCACAGCTTAACATGGATACCCAACTTAGACACAGCCTACTGATTCTAAGCCAACCATTCCTTGTTTTAGGCCATAAATACCTAGTATCTGACAGGGTAACAACAAATACCATCTTATAATGTTTTCTTGTAGGGGCAGACACTCATCCACAATGGCGAACTTTAAAACTATAGATACTCCATTCCTGATGCATAGAAAAAGAATAATCTGCAGACCAAACCATGGCAGCTGATGACGGAATCTTGTTTAAAAGATACCATTAAAATAATGTGGTCTTCCACACAATCAACTCCAAAACGGACAATAATGTGCATATTCATAATGGTCCAAATCCACACCATGAAGCTTTCTAAAAGCACAGCATCACTAACCAAAGATTCATCTTTCATTCCTCTAACCCAATGCAACGGATGTTGTCTCATCTGATGGAAGAAGGAATGGAAAGGATGTTTCAAGATCATATTCTTCAACCATCTAAGATGAACGTACAGTCGGGGGTAGACACAGACTCTAGTTCAAGACTTGTGAAATCTAAGGGGAGTATTTGTATTATCCTAATATCCACTCAGTTTACAAAACTCACTAGTCAGAAATAAGCTGTGGACTATGAAGTTGGATATAAAGTGTCTACTCTATCAGGAATGTTTCACAAAGATCTTAGCGCGGAGATCACTTTGTTGAACTGAGTCCATACATCATATCCACCAAGCTCTGCATCAGCAAGATGCTTGATGAATATGACAGTTGTCCAACAGTGTAGTCTCGATTAATTCAAAAGAGAAGAACGAAATTTGGCTGTGTGGGAAAATTTCTTCGAAGACAGAACTGTATATTGAACAGATGTACATGAACTGTAAAATACCTCAATTTCAAAAACAGCTTCCTCAGGCAGAGCATTATTTTTTAGGTTGAATTTGAAAAACAAATACATCAAAATGCAACCATGAAAAGATCGCGGCCAAACAAATTTGGAGGGCAATTCACTGGAGTGATATTGCGCGATGAAAACATCCGAGCTAACAACTCTTGGGTATTAAATTTAAAAGCTATCAACTTTTATGGTATATATGGACTATTTGTGTGGATCTAAACAAAAATGTTGTAGACTCGCTGGCTTCACATCATCGTTACTTATATGTAGATTTGAGGATAGGGAGCTGTAGGGTTTGGAAGCTGAGACCCGTGAAGACATTGTAAAGGAGAGAAAAACAACTGTGCATAAAATATATCAAGTATTGGAAAGTCAGCGTGTTCGTTCAAATTTAATATTCTTTCCACAGTGAAATAATACTTGAAAATTATTTCCATGAAAAATTGATATTTACGATCTAAGGAATTTCTGACAAAAAGGGCTGCAACAACTGTATGTTTCAAATACTGCAGAATGCAAAATGTGACAATTCTGCTGCAATTTTATATTTGTCCACAGAAACTGACTTTAATAAAGTCAACATTGACAGCGTGTCAGAATGGATGAGTAAATTAACCATGCTACACACTATCAGGGCTTCAAGAATACGAGTTGAAACAGCTTGTGTTCGCATCTTTAACTCTTATCACCATAACAGAATAAAATCTTGCATGAAATTTATAAAAACTGCAATTCACATTGAGGTGTCTTGAATCATTATCCCATGAAATGAAAGTAATACACGCAAACCAAAAAACACAGGAAAAGATTGTTAAACATTAGTTTTTTATATGAAGACTGACACAGAAAACACAAATATCAATCATACATGACAACACTACTGATCAGGAAGATATATCAATCAATACCTCCTTATGGGGAGAACAGATGTCTTTAGAAGCAGGGATAGATTTCATTACATGGGGAAAGTTCAAAGGAATTGATGCAGATAAAATCAGTCAGACTGATACCACAAATGAAACAACATCCAAGGGGTGCAGTGCAAGTGGTAGGATTGATTGAATTTGAAATAATCAAAATGTAATTATCACCATTGTATACTTGCTGCAGAGCTGATATTACTTCATAATACATAAGTTTGTATCTCAATTGACTATCATGATATAGACTTGCTGTGTTTTTTTGTTTTTTTCACAAAAACCTTAATGGTAACCAAGAAATTATATACATTCGTTTTTACGCTTGTGGTGGGACATATAGCAGTAACTACAGAGGTGTCATTTTTTAACATGCTCCTTTACAAAAACGGAAAGGTTATTTATTCGAGAAAGAGGAAATTGTATTTTCTATAAATGAAATGATCTTGTGATGGTTAACTCGAAAAAAACCACATGACTTCAATGTAGATTTGATAAAAGGTTACAGCACACTTAAGAAACAGATTTTTTTGAGATCATGTTATTTCACAAATAACAGTTGAGCATGTTTATTGGTGCTTACAAAGTACATAAAACCATTCACCACTCCATAGATTTCAATATGCAATCATACTAAGTTGGTCGTATAAACATTAAAACTATTTGTAGTGATAAACCCAGCCGTACCATGTTAGCAAGTTACCTACAACAACGTTGGAGTTTGTTTATACGCACCTATGATATCACAAGGGGTATTAAATAATGAAGATAAAAGTCTTCTATGACACTGAGAACATTCAAAATAGCATTTGTATGGTGTGTTATATGACGAGCAATAAACTTGTAAAGTTTTATTGCATAGGAGCAAACCTATGAGTTAAATGCACATTATCAATGACTCATAATCCAATAATTTATAAGTATCCTATCACGAAATAAGCTTACTGTGTTTGATTTTTTAGACAAACCACTATTGGTAACCAAGATATTATCTCTAAAAACAACCTGAGTATACATAATAAACTTAAGGAAACACTTATGTATAAATGTTGCTTTAAACTTGACATGGTTAACACTAAATTTGTATACCTATAAACATGATAAAGTTATACCATTATAGGGAAACATTACAAACCATGAAATATGTACTTTTCTTTTCAGTTCTTCTACAGTGCATCACGTTGAATGAAATATAGAAGAAACACTGCATTTATGAAAACAAAGTTGCAAACAAATGTATTCCTTTCAAGCACAAATCTCACCTCCCAGATAAAGAAGGGAACAAGGTTGAAACAGAGCTCCATTATTTCCTAAAAATAGACAGCATTCTCACTGGCAGGCCAGAGGTTTAGTAAGGGGTAAAAAGCTGGTCTGGGGGCCCCTTGCCTTTCGCTTCAACGCTGTGTTGAATGTCAAAATCTCAGGAGCAAGTATGCATTGCACCTGCCCAAAACATGTGCCGAATCTAGATCCTAGCCGTCATGTACACACACACAACTTCGTAGTCTTCTAAATTGTGACAGGCGTACTGAAATACCCACAACTGAGAACAAATGTTTCTGGTTCTGTGATGTCGAATAAATGTGACCCACCAACCCTATCTGTCGAAATGATTGCCCCGCAAGCAGTCAGTGGCGAAGATAGAACAAACACGTTCAAAAGTCAACAATGTAACAATTTGCAAACACTTCTGAACAATGTTGCTTTTTCGTTGCATATTATTGCAAAATATACCACGGACGAAGGTTGTATACATCCCACATCGTGCGAATAGATTCAGGTGACATACGAACACAAAACAATTCTTACCCGAGTTTTTTTCCGATCGGATGCCAAGCGGTAAGGTTTGTCAGTCGAGGCGAGCGAGTGCCCCGAATCGGCATGTAAAGGAATGCACAGGGGGCGCTGACCTATTTACGGTAACAAAGAGCGACCGAAGCAAAAACTTTACCTACCCAGCATCTACCGTGAGGAATATCCTTAATCCCTGTTCGAAAAACTCTCAGTGTATTGCACAGTTCTTGAGAGGCGACTACTTCATGCCTGTATCGTTCAAAGATGGCGGTGAATGGCAGGCTGTGACGTAAGAGCCGAGAGAAATCGACATCGGGGACTCCCCGGAAGTCACCTATCAAAAAGCCCGCGAAACTCTCGCACAAAGAACCCCTCCGTAATTAGATCGCAGGTATAGCCAATAGAATCTCCGGTTGGAGATTGTGAATGTAAACAAATTTAGCTGTCGATGCAGAACGGTATTACTCCTGACATTTCTCTAAAAGCATTCGATGAAAACTAGTTCGTTTTCCGAAAACACGTGGTGTTGTTGCCTGTAGCTGGTATAACGCTGGGCGCTTTGTAATAATGCCCTGGCTATTTTTCAACCAAACGAGCTGCGCTCACAGAACAGGATCGTCATGATTTCCACAAATCTAACTCATGTGCACATTTCCTGTTCATAATGTATTTTACTATCTACAAACATAAACCAAATGCTCTCGAATTAAAGCGTTACTATACACACCAAATTAAATTAAAGATTAAAAGATTTAACACAAATATATAAATTTGATATTTACTGAAAAGCATTCCTGTATCAAATAAGAAACCATAAAAAAATAATCAGTATACATTATTACTCAATAAATAATAAAAGATGAAAGTATTACCTCGGCGATCTCATAACTGCTATCATTTTAAATATCCTTTTCCTGTAGTCACAATCGGTATCATGGAATCAAAAGCACAATTCTACTCTCACATCACGGTGATAACATCCACCCGATATAGTCATATCACACTGATAACTGACGGTTGGATTCAAAAATGTTTGTTGACCAGAGCTCGTCGTTTGATTGGGCACATCTGCCGTCTTCTCACCCGCTATATATCCTCTCCTGGCGACCCCGCCCCTTAGACTAATTATTGATCATGGTGATAATTATATAAAATAAACGACGGAGGGAATCCAAGCCCCGAACACAATAGGCACGCGACTGTTACGAGCTTCGCCCTGCCTAATTTAAATTTTCCTCAGTGATGCTTTGTTAAAATATTCTCCTTTGATGTTTGATTTATTGCCAAGCGATAGAATCACGGACGAGTTGAGCGCGTGCTCTGCGCGAGCCAATGTATGCACCTGTTCCTTTAAAATGCGATTCATCGGAATTTTCCTATTGTTCATATTAAAATCGCCGAGAGGCCCGACCTTGAATCGCACCCGACAGACCTGATGAATAGACAGCGCTCGGGTTCTTTCACTTTTTTATTCTAATCGCGGCTCTCGTTCAGAATTATAACGACACACCACACTTTTTATACCCACCGCAAGTCTGTTTTATTTCGTGAGTTGACAATATGAATGGCTAGTTTGTCATTTTGTGGCTAATAAAATTGAAGATTAAAGAATATTGTTTTGGATGCTGAAGAAAAGGGACGTTTACCGAGAAGGTCGTCTAGGTCGCTGTGCGGTTACCGATAGTTATTGAACCGTATCGGTATTTAATCCAGAAAGTATTATTAAAACGAATACAATATATACGCCATACTCTCGTGCTATATGAATACATACTGGCCCTTTGAACTGGGTATGCCATAGAAAACAAGGCAACAGGTGTATTGGTCTCATTTGAATCAACTAGTCGCCACTGGTGTTTTAAAACATTTTTTTCAATTAGTATATTGCAAATGTTCAAGCATAGATTATGTTAAAAAATCAAGTCTTAGATACATTAGAAAGAACACGTTGACATTGAACCTTAATGGATAACAGCGTCTTTTATTGTATGTAATTGCGTTTAGGTCTACTTCATGCTCCTTCATCAGATGAATATTTTTGGAAATTATTTAAAAACATGTTAATAATCACTTGAAGCTGTTGAACATTATTTAGATGCCTTTGAATCAATTAAAATATGCTTGGGTTTGGATTTCAATTATTTTCTTTCACGGCAAAGTTTCGATACAACTACAAGTCAGTACCTTTATGAAGCAAGGGGTGGGATGGATAAAGACACGGGGAACTCAGGGATACAGCTGAGTAAAACCTTTATAGTTTTGTGATACTGCTGCTGCTGCTTAGGCCTTCCTCGTACATTCACTCGCTAACAGGCACTGTGACACTGTTAATCCAACAAGTGGGCAAATGTTGATGTTGTTTTACGCCGCTGTTAGAATAGTTCGTTATATCACACCAGCCTTTAATAAATATAGGGGCGGTCGGGTAGCCTAGTGGCTAAAGCGTTCGTTCGTCAAGCCGAAGACCCGGGTTCGATTCTCCCCATGGGTACAATGTGTGAATCCCAGTTTCTGGTGTTCCCCGCTTTCATATTGCTGGAATATTGCTAAAAGCGTCGTCAAACCATACCCACCCATGTAGACCCTTTAGTATAACCACTGTATTAAAGGGGGCACGGGTGGCCCAGTCGTCTAAGGCGCCGCGTTTCGTTGTGCAGAGTTGCGTCCCTTGGGCACGCCAAAAACCTATCATTGTGGGTTCGAATCCCGTTTCGCCCCGATTATGTTTCTATGTTTTGTCAGCACCATACCCGTGCTCGTGGGTTTCACCGAAGTGGTAAACGTCTGAGACCTGCATCACTTCGGGCTTTCCTCCCACATTAAGCTGACACGCTGTGATATGACTGGAATGCTGTTAAAAGCGGCGTTAAACCCAACTCACTCACTCACTCATTGTATAAAAAAACACGTAAAGGAAAGAGATCGTGAGGGTTTTAGGAATTTATACGTGAGCATATCGAAACGAATGATATATTTGGTAATGGATTTGTCACATAATCTCCTGGTCAGTTTGTTGTTGTTAGTTAATCTGAACGACAAAGGCGAAGCGGATTCTTAAAATGAAATAACGAAATATGTTTTGTATCAGATCACTTTGTAATGAGACCTGATGATGTGCTGTGACATGACGTAAAACATCCATCCATCCATCCGTCCGTCCGCCCGTCACTCACTCACTCACCGACCCACTCACTCACTCACTCACTCACTCACGCACGCACGCACGCACGCACGCACGCACGCACGCACGCGCTCACTCACCCAATTACTCATTCAACCCCCACCCCCCACCCCCCACTCACTCACTCACTTTATTACCCATGGTCCCGACAGTAATATAATCTCAGTTTAATATCGGTATTCTTGTATTCTATTCTACGGATAACTGGATATATGTTAGATTGTTTCCAGGAATTCGAGTTAACGAGGTTTCAATGCAGTTTCCGCAAGGTCACGTCAACAATAACTTTAGAATACAGACTCCGGAAGCTTGAACGTCCAAGAGCTCGTGCACTTTGAGTCTTGTGCCAATTTTGCAATGCTGCCCATTCACTCATAGTTTTCAATTAGGTTCCCTCACATGGAATTAACTGATGCGGAAAATGCAATTGCTTAATTAAAAAATGGAACATAAAGGCTGGGGGTTTGTTTTTACGTATTTCCTGCTGTAATGTCAAATGAGACCTAGCCGACGTGCCATGGCAGTTTAGTGGGAAACGAAGTTAACTGTGTCCGCATACATATATCATATCCATGGAGGTACAATAAGACTCGTATGTATACTGGATCTGAGGAGCCAAACTTTAAATATACTTTGTATTTTGATTATTTTTTTGTTAAGAATTTTGATCGATCAGAAACTAACGCTCGTATTCGGCGTTGTAGAGTCACAAATGACGTCTACACCATCTTTGAAGTGAGGTGAAATGGGGTTTAACGTCGCGCGTTCCTGATTATTCGCTTACATAGTGACGCGCGCGCGCGTGCGTGCATGCGTGCGTGCGTGGGTGGGTGGGTGCGTGCGTGCGTGCGTGCGTGTGTGTGTGTGTGCTTGCACTAGTCCGGACTAATGCCGGTTAATAGTTCAAGCCCACTGAGATACCATGTACTGTTTAACATGGATACCCCACTCAATATACTGACGATCAGTCCTTGTTTTATATCCTTAATGTCGAGCGCCAGGCAAGGTAACAAAAAGTACCATCTTTTAACCTCTCATTGTAAATTTCTCTGCCTAGGTTTTACAGAAAACACAAAGAGGTATATAGCTTCAATTCCAACGAAGGAATACTTTTTACAGCCCTTTTACCATTATTAAGCAACAGTATACACCGGTCCGAGGACAACACTAAATGGATCTTGGAACATCACCAACAGTATGCATCAGTCCAAGGACAACACTGAAAGGACCATGGCACATTCCTACAAAGTGTTGCTCTTAGTTATGTCTGCACCCCACGCAGGTAATGGGTGGTTGTTCCCACTCCCTGTACCTTTGTCTGAGGGGAGAGGAGAGCGACTGGACCCCCGGACAGAATTTCATTACTCCGCGGACAGATGGCTAACCGCCTGTTCCTCTTAATCGATCGCCCTATAGTAAGGACGAACAGATTGGGACAAGGTGTTTGGGAGTCCTGGGATTATGTCTTCGTGGGCTGGGATGGGGTGGGTCGAGGATTTAAAATTTGAAAATTAGTGGATTGAATTAGCAGCGGTTGGTTGATTGAAATACTGCGGGAAGCGAAAGAACGGATTTGACGTAGTCGTTGGCAACGTTACCCAACTGTGTCACAGCGGTGGATAGGCCGATAATAATTATCTGGGGAAGGAAAGCCAGACGCTTCTACATCGTGGGCATAGAACCATGCCATCGGGGTACGATTACACACTACCCCAGCCAGGTTTCAGATGAGGGTTTGGTCCCTGGGATTGTCACCTAGTACTTGGTCCGTCCGTAGCTTTCACTCACTCACTCAGTTCCTGATTGTATATCACAATTCTATTATGGTCTTTAGGGACTGCTCTCTCTCTCTCTCTCTCTCTCTCTCTCTCTCTCTCTCTCTCTCTCTGCCTAAAATGGTAGATGGTAGAAGGATCCGGGATATCTATCATAATAAACGTAGCTATCGTCACCGACGGTTTTTCTTACTATGAACCATACGTGTACCTGGTTGTTATTATAATTTTTTTAAGTGAGTGAGTATGGTTTTACGCCGCTTTTAGCAATATTCCAGCAATATCACGGTGGGGGACACCAGAAATGGACCCATGTCAGGAATCGGACCCGGGTCTTCGGCGTGATGAGCTGACGCTTTAGCCACTATCTACACGACCGCCCCTATATGTTTTAAAGGCTGGTGTGATATAACGAACTATTTCTAACAGCGGCGTAAAACAACATCAACATTTGCCCACTTGTTGGATTAACAGTGTCACAGTGCCTGTTAGTGAGTGAATGTACGAGGAAGGCCTAAGCAGTAGCAGTATCACAAAACTATAAAGGTTTTACTCAGCTTGGAGCACTGTTCCAACTATATCAAGTCATGGGACAACAAACATGGGTATAGAACCAGGGACTTTGACGGGACTAGACTACTCCACCACCCAACGAAAATATAAAACGAATCATTAGTATATGATCTCCACAAAATAAACCTCTGTTAGAAACCGAACCCAGATTTCGGCGTGCCGACGAACGCTTCAACCTCGAGGCCACCTTCCCTGATGGCTACCATGGAGCCAATGAAGTTGAAGATGAGGGATGCATCTGAATGAGTTAGCATGACGTCATGCTGGTCCAGTGGTGAGAAAGAAGGCTTGGGCAGGCAGTTTCTGCATCACTCTCTTGATTTGATTACAGCGTGGTGAGACGGAGTGTATTGGAGAGCGTCTGGATGGTTGGAGATAAAGTTTTGATGAGGTTCCATCACATCTGACTAAGAACCGCCATGTTGAAATGGGTTAGTCTGGAATTGTGGAGGGACTTTCCCTGTTCCATGTCTGTCTCAGTGTCAAGGACCCTGTTCAGGAAAGGATGGGTGAGTCAGTCGAAGCCGACAATTGTTCGGCTTTCTTTG